GCGATCCGGGCCGACTCCCCACCCCCCTCGGCCTCTCTCCGCCGGAGCCGCCGACTCTCCACCCCTTCCCCCAGCGGATTGGCCGCCGACCTGCCGGGGGCCGGGGCGCTGGGGCCGCCTCCTCTCCACCCCCTTTCTCCGGGTTATTCTTTCAGCGGCTTTTCTTTTCCTCCCTTGGCTCCTCTCGCGCTCTTTCTCTTGGTGATCTAGCTCAAGCGCGCTGCCGGTAGGCCGTCCATACAGCCAAACTTGTTGTCTCAGGATATCCCGCCCCCTACTCATTTCCCAGCGCCCTCCACTCAAAAACGGGCTCCAGCATCCCTCCGAGTTGCCACTAAAAAAAAAAAAAAGTAAGCCTATCGCCCAAGGCAGGCGAGAGGGGCGGACGCGGGGATGCGCGGGCCACCGATGACTAGGCGCGCCAGGTGATCTGCCCGCTGCCCCCGCGCAAGGAGCATGGCTTTCCTGAGGCGCATCCGGACCCGGGCGCCCTTTTTCCTTGGCTCGGTCTCCATTGGCTGAGACCGTGGTGACGCGCGCTGAGTGGTGGGAGAAAGGGGGCGGAGCGCTGCCGCAAAGGCTGTCGGCTCTTGTAGTTTCCAGCGGCCGCGGCCTCGAAGGCACCGCCTCCCTCCCGCCCCCGGCCGAGGCCGGGCTGCCGAGCGGAAAGCTGCCCGAGGGGGCGGTGGCGGCAGGGCGTGGCCGGAGCGGAGTGGGAGTTGAACTGAGCAAGGGGGAGGGGGAATGGGTGTTGTTTGCCTGGGCCTATCCGCCGCGCGGGGATGCCCAAACCACCTCTGCCACCGCCTCCTCGGCTCCAAGCCGCTCCCCGCGGGGCGAGCTCACACCCGGAGCGCTCGGCGATTGAGCGGGCGGCGGCGTGGGGAGGCGGGGTTTGCTGTCCTCGGGGTTTGAATGAACCCGGCTTCTTGAAGCAGCGCCTTCGCCTTGCCTTTCTTTGCTCACCTTCCCCCATCGGGCCCCCTCTTCGAGTCCGAGGCCTGTTTTCCCACAGAGTAGGATCTTCCATTTTTATTTGTTGTCTCCTGGCTGCTGATGCAGGGCAGCGAGCTGCTCTCTAGGGTTGCATCGTGTTTTGCCAAATACCCCATGGGGCTGGCGGACTTCTCGCTCTTACGGGTCTCACAAGATTCCCTAGGCGAAGAAAAGCCCAGCTCCATGTGGGTCATCCCCACTCACGGTTTAGCATAAGCTTCTAGGCAGGTGGAATTCACATCTGGCTGCACAAAGCATATTATTGTCAAATGCACTTGAGCAGTCTCCTTCCTCTAGCTTTCCTCCAAAGTCCTGAAGTTAGGATGATGCCATGGAATATAATCAGCCCCTGATTAAGTGTACCAAAGGTGGAAGTGAATCTCTAATGTAAATATTGGTCTTGGGGACAAGGCACCCTTACACACCCAGGCTCAAAGCTCCCTTTCTACCTGGGCTCCACACCCAGCCTTGGGCGTTTTTGTCATTTGCTTGAGGCCTGACATGTTGCAAGGGAGAGGAGGTCCCAGGTGCTGAATTTGACTGGCATTTCCTTTGCTTGTTAAAGTAATTGCAATATCGGCTGATGACAAAGCCGTGCAGCAAGGCAAGGCAATTCAAATAAAGAATTACATACTGTCGTTTACTCCATTTTATAAAGTGAGCCTAAGACCCTTAAATAACCTGCTTTCCCCCCATCATGTACAATGTAGAAAACTCAAAAGTGCTTGCATTTACAGATATACTGTTTATCCTCAACGTTGTGGTTTTTTCCCCTCCAATTCGCCATGACGAATGAAGACATTTTGCAGTCTCATGAATTGGGGCAGTCCTTGTAGTTGTCTTACCTTAGAAAACCTGCTTCAGGGAGGCGATGTCACTGACTCTGAATCATAGGTTAAAAAGTTACTTATCCATTCAGTATGGATCTACAAAGTGTCCTAAATATTCTGCATCCTGTAGATAAGTGGTTACACTGGTATCCATGAAACATAATTACAAACCCCACTTTTGGTCGTGAACTTCTAGTCCCTGGCTGTTATGGACTGAATGTTTGTGTCTCTTTCCATCCTCAGTTCATGTGTTGAAACTCTATCCTCCAGTGTGATGGTATTAGGAAGTAGGGTCTTTGGGAGATAATTAGGATTAGAGGAGGTCATGAATGTGGAGCTCTCTTGAATGGGATTAGTGATCTTAGAAAAGTCAGGAGAGAGCTTGATTCCCCTTGCTCTGATCTCCACCTTGTGAAGATAAAACCAGAGGTTGGCAATCTGCACCTCGAAAAGGGCCCTCACCAGAACCTGACCTGCTGGCACCCTGATCTCAGACTTCCAACCTCTGCAACTGTGAGAAGTAAATTTCTGTTGTTTATAAGCCACCCTATTTATGGTATTTGGTTATAGCAGCCTCAGCTGATTAACTGACTGAGCCATGAGACCTAGGAAGGTGACAAATTAATAACTTCTTAAGTATTGTCATTTTGTTATCCGTTTAATATAAGCAGAAGGTTTTTAGCTAGATGAAATATTTCCAAGAGTATCACACCACCTTCCTAATTTAAGCTATGTACTACCTATACTGATTTACTTAATGTTTTTCTTTAAACCAATTTGCTCTCCTTTCTAATGTAATTAAGAAGAGAAGTTTACATCACTACTGTAAGTGGAAAGCCAGTTTTGCTACAGAGGTATTCATTGATGAAGACTCTCTCTTTTGACCAAACTTTAGTCATGCTCCTCTGCGTCCTCTTTCTGACTAGGCCCCGACTTTAGGCTCTGTCCTTATCTAGTGGCTTTGCCCATTTAGTAAAGTTTTAGTAAGCATCCTGCTGGGTCGGATTGGAATCAAATTCCTTATCCCCTGGCTTGGATATCTTATCACCCTGGCCTGCCTTCCACAGTAATCCTGTCAAATTGGTTCAGCCAGAATCCCCCCCTCACCTTGGATGTTTCCTCTTACTCATTTTCCATTCCCTGATTCCACTCTGCTCCTTGGCTACAGATCTCTACGGGTCCTTGTATTCTCAGTTCAGCCCAATTTCTCTCCTCCACTGCAAGACCACATTGCAATGATCTCTATACCTATCTTGATAGTCCCCCCTTGAATAAAGTCGTCTTTACTGTCTTTAACAAGTATCATGAATTTTTTTTTTAACAGTATAAATATAAATGTGACAAAATTCTCAGGCTCAGGCCTGCCAGGGTGATCTTTTCCCCAAGGAAGAAGTTAGTCTAAAAAGATTTCTTCCTGTACTCATAGTGCCCACCGTAGCTTTCAAACTTTTCTATTATGACCCACAGGAATAAACATATTTTATATCATGGCCCAGTGTGTATACACACACAGAGGAAATCAGCATTTTTATTCAAAATATTTAACAACATTGAGCACTGACCACTCAGATCAATCAGTGCCATGTTGAACAAGCAGTATCCTAGAGGCCACCTGCCACACATTATCCTTACAGTTGCTGGGTAGAGAGCTCTAGAGGGTGGGGAAACAATGTTAGGGGCAAGGGGGAGACTTAAACCCTAGTTATTTGTCCAGGACTAACAGCTTTTAGAGTCATATCAATGTCTATCAGTTGAATATCAATAAATTATGTTTTTTGTTTTTGTTTTTTTGTGTTTTTGGGGGCAGCTGGCCAGTATGGGAATCCAAACTCTTGACCTGAGACAATTATGTTAAATGAAGCAAAGCATCAAAAAAAAGTCTTCCGGGCCGGCCCGGTGGCGTACTGGATGGTGCACCGCTTGGGAAGCGCGGCGGCGCTCCCGCCCGAGGGTTCGGATCCCACATACAGACCGGTTCCCGCTCACTGGCTGAGCGAGGCGCGGGAGCAGCGCCGAGGGCTGCAATCCCGTTGCCGGTCCCCCGTCCGGTACGGGGGCAACTCTGAGGGTTGCGATCCATTGCCGGACACGGAAAAAGACAAAAAAAAAAAAAAGTCTTCCGGGCCGGCCCGGGGGCGTACTGGATGGTGCACCGCTTGGGAAGCGCGGCGGCGCTCCCGCCCGAGGGTTCGGATCCCACATACAGACCGGTTCCCGCTCACTGGCTGAGCGAGGCGCGGGAGCAGCGCCGAGGGCTGCAATCCCGTTGCCGGTCCCCCGTCCGGTACGGGGGCAACTCTGAGGGTTGCGATCCATTGCCGGACACGGAAAAAGACAAAAAAAAAAAAAGTCTTCCGGGCCGGCCCGGGGGCGTACTGGATGGTGCACCGCTTGGGAAGCGCGGCGGCGCTCCCGCCCGAGGGTTCGGATCCCACATACAGACCGGTTCCCGCTCACTGGCTGAGCGAGGCGCGGGAGCAGCGCCGAGGGCTGCAATCCCGTTGCCGGTCCCCCGTCCGGTACGGGGGCAACACTGAGGGTTGCGATCCATTGCCGGACACGGAAAAAGACAAAAAAAAAAAAAGTCTTCCTACATGTGGTGCTACTTCCTCTCCCACCTCCAACCCTCACCCCCACCTGGCCTTTAAAAAAGCTTCTAGTTGCAACCCAAGAGTTAGAAAAAACAGCCTATGTGCTCCTCCCCCCACCCCCCTCCACCAATCCCTCTGCTTTGTAAGAACAG